GAAAGTCCAGGAATCCAGTAGTTTCTCAGTCCTATGAGGATGGGTGTCTCAGGTGTCTACTGTAGATGCACTACTCTAGTGCTGATAAAGTCAAGGAAAGCAGGCAAAGAAGGAAAGAACCCTTCCTTCTTCCATTGTGCTTATATGGAATTTCATCAGAAGGTATTGCTCACATTAAAGGTGTGCCTTCCTTCCTCAAGTTCTGGATTAAAGGCATGTGTTACCCTGCCTCAAGATCCAGATCAAAAGAATGTCTCAGTCAGTCTCAGGATTCAGATCAAAGGCGTGTCGTCCTCCTGCCTCAATATCCTGATCTCAAGTATACCCTCCATTTGTGGATTGTAGTTCATTCCAGATATAGTCAAGTTGACAACCAAGAATAGCCATCACATTCCCTCTTAGGATAGTTTGTAAAGTGATTCTATTGAAAAGTGTGAAAAACGATAAACATTAAGAAGAGATCTTATTTGTGATTTATAATTTGCTTTCTTTCTGGGCTTCAGTGCTCAGTGATGGCTCTGCGGATAATGGGCATCAGATGGCCAGTGAACTGCATCCCTTCACAGTGTGATCATGTTCCCATGAGGCTCATTAACCAATACTTTCTGCCCAGTGTTCTATTCTGTTTACCTGTGACTTTCAGCAGGTTGGAGCTTAGAATGCATTTTCAGTTCACAATATTCTCAGATTTCAATGTGGTTTTTAGTGCATTGAGTTTATTAAAATATAAGATCAACGGTATCCATCTCTTCTTTAATTCTAACAGAGTGTTATTTGGTGTATCAGTTTGTAATTATTATTTGTTTCACTGGTTAATTTTAATATGATTTTCTCATTGTGATAACATTGTCAATGTGGAGTTTCTAATGCCTGGATAACCACAGCAAATGAATGCTCTAGGAGACTGGAGATTGTTAAGTCCTTGGCTACATTGTCATATGAACATGAATTCCTTCTGATAAATACATTATCGAGGCTTCTGTTTACTGTTTATGAGGGAAGCCACAAAGCCTTTGAGTTGACCAATTACAGCTGTTTGTGAAACTTAAATGCTTTTAAGTAGTTTATCATTTACTCTTATACCATAAGTTTAATATTTTAGAATTCTAAATAAAACTTTACTTTTTTCTATAAAATGTAGTTGAAACAGAGATTCTTGGAAATGGAAAGGCATAGTAGTCAGTTGTATGCCAGTGGTGAGTCTCCTAGACTTCAAAGACGTTCCAAACCCATAATCACACAAATGGCCCTGGTTAAACTCAGTAGGACATACGACAAAATAAAAAGCCAGGAGCATGGGGAAAGAGAGATGTGTAGAAAAGAAGTTTTCTAGCAGAGTTGGGACGATTTATATTTCACATAATACACATATTTATGTGAAGCTGTCATAGAACCGCATTTATTAATGAAAAGCAGTATTTTGAACCCAACACTTGGCATGAGAACAATTTCCCTTCTTCATGTGTGAAGTCTGAAAAGCAGGCCACTACTACACTTAGAGGGAAATTGTGCTGTGCCTTCCTTCAGATTGATGATATCAGAAGCTTGAATTCTCCTGCATTCTTGTTCTCCACTGACTTCTGTTTTCTTAGATGTGAGAATTTAGTATAGAAGGAGAGGTTGGAGGCAGGGGGTCTGTGATATTCATCGTCTTGGGAGTGAGCCTCTAAGTCCTGGGCAAAGGAAAGCAACTTTCTCTTCATGTTAAATGTGTGATTGGAAAGAGGCAGAGACCTACAGAGGATGCTGCAGTTATGAAAGTACTTGGGAAACACTCGGCACCTTTCTTGACACACATAATGCATTTTTATTAAAACTGTGTTTATGGAGGAAATACTTTATTGTTTCACATAAAAAGTCATATTTTTCCTTATTTCCTCATAACCGTTATGATACTAATCAAATCATACACAACTAAAGTCTAAAACACTGTATCTTAGAAAAATAAATAATGGATTGAAATTGTTTCAGTAGTGTTTGTGATACTGTTTTTATGCAATCTATGTTCTTGGCTAAGGAGAAACAGACAGTAAATTAGTGCTTCAGTCACTGATAAGTATTCTACCAGGAGTAAACAGGAAAGTTGAGGACTTCATCTGACCTGTTTTAGTGACCATATGGTTTAATTCTCCATCCTCACTGAATTACCAGTCATTTTTCTTGTCCTCAATAAATTCTGTGTCTAAGATTGTTTCATGCAAGCCAAGACAATAGGCTATTGCCATTTAATTCAATGTGTAGTTTTAAGCGGTCAAATTGTGGAAATACAAAACCTGTATATAGCTATATAGATTGTGTCTTCTTGATAAATTGCTGTTTTTTCTAAATACTGTCTCATATTTTTAATAAGAAGTACATATATTAACAAAAAATTTGTGGAAGAAATCTACCATGTATTGAACATTTATTGTTTAAAGATTGTACCTAGTAATCCCAGTTTTCTTCCCTAGTAAGCATTGAGATACCTATTCCAACGGGGTAACTGAGAAACTTGAACAAACATTGACTTTTGAAGTCCCTTCAAGTTCTGGCATGCCTATTTCAGAAATTTATCTTTTCATTTTCCATAAATCACCTTTCCAAGATTTCAGCATATAGGTTAAAAAAAAAAGCAATGCTTTCTTTAGAATTCTGCAAGACACAACAAAAGATATACAATTCGTGTGATTTCTTCATTTATATGTATACATAATTTTCACTTACCAGGAATAGAAATCCAATTCCCAATGTTGTTCATATATTTTGTGCAACTTGGAGAGCTACTTCAGACCTTAAGAAGCAAATTCAGCCACTGTGGAGAATCCTATGACGGTCATCTGCACATCTCCAAAATCGTATACATTTGGGCCTGAGTGTATTTCATGTTTTCTATGTGCATGTGTTTGTATGCCTTCATGACTGATGAAGATGGGTGGCGTGCTGGTTAGGGGAGCAGATCAGTTTTACAGGAGCTTCTAAATAGAAAAATCTGCTCAAATTGGTAAGACTCCTTTGACAGGCAGCTTCGTAGAAGGTGCTTCAATTCATTCTACCTGCTGCCTATTAAGATGATTGGTTATCACAAAGCAGCCTTTCAGCCTCTTTGCTTTTCACATTTTACAGCCATTCATTTCACACCTTTCCAAAGGATTCCAAAGAAAAATGAAGGGAATAATGAAACAAAACACATCTTAAAAAGAAAAAGCAGGCCCGAGAAAGCTGAGAGACTGCCTAGTTCTGTGTACACAGCTTCCTCCTGCACTTTTCAGCAACATATTTCTCTTGATTCACTCCAGCTGTTGGTTTCTAATTCCTCCTCAGTGTCTTGGAATAGCTGTTTTCCTTGAAGCTAATCTCTCAGGCTTTGCAGATGCCTCTCTGGGATTGGATTCCCTGAAGAAGGTATTTGTCCTGCACAACCACATGATTTTTGCTGCTTCTTCTTGGCAAGTTATTAACTCTTAAACAAACTTGGACTTTCCAGCTAACCTTTGAGTCAGGGAGCTTGGACAGATCCACGTGGCCTATGCGTTTAGGTAACCTTTGGTGGGTGACATGGATGGCATATTGGGGTGGATAAAAGGGAATCCCTTTCTTTTATCATGCATCTAGGCACGAAATGAATTTGTTTTTTTGGCAGGACTTATAACTTGGGGATTGTGCACCTACCTACCTTGTCAATGAGAAGTGATAGCCATCTCCTATAATGCATGCAGCACTGCAACTATCTACATAGATGCCGATTCTATAAATGAGACAGTGCTCATTTCTCATCTGTTCCTGCCTTAGTCTTTGGAAGGACTATGCATGAGAGATAATATCATTTGATCTTCAAGTGCAATATAAACAATTCTAAACAAATTAAAGCAATTTAAACAATTTTCTGAACAATTTAAAATGTTTAGAACTTGCATGTAGTAAAGTCTTCAAGAATTAAACCTTAATTCAATCTTGGTCTTATAGGACTCAAAACTCAAACATCTTGCTGGCTTCAAAGCCCCAGCTATAAGCAACATTTTTTTTGTTGGTTTTTGTTCTTCACTTTTGTTTTTCGAGACAGGGTTTATCTGTGGCTTTGGAGGATGTCCTGGAACTCTCTTTGAAGAGCAGGCTGGCTTTGAACTCAGAGAAATATGCCTGCCTCTGCCTCCCAAGTTTTGGGATTAAAGGCGTGCTCCACCACTGCCTTTAGGTTGCAGCAATAGTCTTTTTATGAGTGGAGGATGATGCCTATCTGTCTGTTGTATTATCTGTCATTTCTTGGTCTTATTCGCTTGGTAGTTAGAGATTTAGGGCACATACATGTGTTCATCCCATGCCATTTGTAGGAATTCAGTAGCATGTCTTAATACTGTTCTATTGCACTGAAGGGACACCATGCGCAAGGCAACTCTTTCAAAGGAAACACTAAATTTGGACTTGCTTACAGTCTTAGGGGCTCACTTCATGATCACCATCATGAGAAGTAAACAGGCATAGAGCTGAAACAGTAGCTGGGAGCTCTACATCCTGATGCCAAAGTTGCAGGCAAAGAGTGAGAAATAATGGTCCTGTTTGGGCTTTTGAAACCTCAAAGACCATCCTCGGTGACACATCTCTTGCAACATGACCACATTTCCTAATTCTTCCCAAAAAGTTTCACTAACTGGGTACCATGCATTCAAACATATGAGTATATCAAGGTCATTGTCATTCAAACCACTACATGGTGTTAGTATGTTTGTGCATACATGAACTTATTTATAGAATTACTTACATACATACATACAAAGTGGCACAGAAAATGACACTACCAAAATGACTACTCCCAAGAGTGGCCCTCTAAAATTATAACAGAGATTAAAAGTCCAATTTCCGGTGGTGGCACACGCCTTTAATTCCAGCACTCGGGAGGTAGAGGCAGGAGGATCTCTGTGAGTTCGAGGCCAGGTTGGACCGACAGCCTCCAAAACAATACAGAGAAAGCCTGTCTCGTAAAACCAAAAAAAAAAAAAAAAAAAAAAAAAAAAAGTACAGTTGCCTAGTGACCTTACATCCATTCTGATATAATATGGTAATGCTTCAGTTATGTTGTTTTTAGTGATGTTAGAGTAAAGCAACCGATTTCACATTGTCATAACAAAATGTAATGCTCACTAACACATATTGACAATGTTACTGCTTTTAGATTTGTTTTACCATGAGTTAGGAATGTGCTCTTTATGTAGTACAGTTTACAATAAACTCAACATAAAACAGTAAGCCATGTTTCACAGGGTAAAGTCCGATACATCATGTGTTTACTGTGTTTTGTGACTGCAAGAAGAAGTCATTACAATTGCTGATACGACAAGGTTGTTGCCTGCATAAACACACAGAGGTTACATGCATGTGCACAAGACAGGCACAAGATTGTGCCAGGCAAAATTCCACCATTGGTGTGAGAGGGATTCCACCATTATCACAAGAGATATTGGCACCCGATGGCTGCTGAGCAAGGTAGAATCCTTATCCTCTGGGGAAAATAGCTGCTGGAAGGTTGCTCATCCTGTAGTAGACTGTGTCACATCCATATTCATATGGTCAGCAATACCTTGACTTAGGGGCTGATTAATAACAAAAAATAATAAAAAGAAGACATGAAGTTGGGAAGGAGATGGGTTGGGGATACTAGGGGGGTGTTGCTCAGCAGTGATAAGCAAATATGATCATTATACATTGTATAAATATGTGGAGCTTCCAAAGAATAAAATAAATAATGTAATTTAAAAAAGTCATTTATTTGGGTTGTAGATCAGTATTTATCCCTGGCATACAAATGGACTTTGGGTGCCCATCCCACAATGAAAGATGCTCTCTCAGTCTGGACTCTTGGGGGAGGGCCTAGGCCCTGCCCTGGATGAAATGACAGACAATGGACACCCCATGTGGAAGGCCTCACCCTCCATGGGGAAAGGAGTGGGGACTGGGGGAGGGGAATAGGAGGTTGGTGGGAGGGCATGAAAGGATAGGAGGGAGAGGGAGAGAGACCTGGGATTGACATATGAAGCAGCCTTGTTTACAATTTAAATTTAAAAATTAAAAAGATATTTAAAAAGTCATTTAAAGTACTGTCCCACCTAGGTTTGTGTAAATATACTCTACCACTTTTTCATGACAAAAATCACCTGACATTGTATTTCTTAGGCAGAATCATCATTGTTATGCAATATAAATGTTAAGTGATCATGAAAAACACACATATTCTCTTTATATTTATATGTACATATAGAAACATATTTACTTTTCTCTTTAATTTCTATTTTTGCATTTTCACAGATAACTTTCTATTTGAGAATCCCTCCCCCTTTTTACATTTGGAAATGAGCAAACCACAACTATTCCTGGCACACTGCTCCAAATTCATTTTTAGATATTGATAATAAGTCTTTTAAAACATAATGATTTCATGCATTTATCTTATTTCATACTTAAGCTAAGTTAATTATTTAGCTGCCAATACTATTTCTGTTTTTAAATTAAACATAAATGAGGGAAATAATAATCACAATGAAGTAATAAGGCTAAAATAAGACAATATTAAAAGCATTATACTCTGTCTTCCTTCAGTGCTGTCCCCTGAAGTGTTTAGAATGAGGCAACTGAGAACCATTTGAGAAAATTATTTTTCTGTTAAAAATAGCTTATATTTAAAGTCTGTAAGATGCACAGATTCTTTGATAATCAACTTTCAAACATTGTACTTGGGAAACTCTCCATTCCATTAACTCATTCCCTGTCATTCCATGCTTCTCCGTGCTCCTTGTACAAGTAATTGGGCACTCATGCTAGAATCTGAGGTAGCACATGCTTCATACCTGTTATTGAATTATTTCAGCCTCCCAGTGCCCGATTGAGTAAATGAGCAGTGTTCTTCAAGCCTCACTTGTTCTTATTTGAAGAAGCAAAGCTTAGTGACTTCCTCAGATATAACTCATAGGTGGTGGAGCTTGAAAGCACACCCAGATCTACCTGGTCTGAGTACGTGTTCCTACTTTATACACTGCTCTACATTGCTGGCTGACTTGACACATGGGCAGTTTTCTTCTATAGGTTTTGGTGAATTCATTCCTTTCTTTGATGAACACTACCCTCAGTTACCGTCCTCTCAGTCTTTCCCCAATTTTGTCATTGTTTTCATAATCTTACATATGAAACCTTATCTGCCAGTCATCCTCTGGACCTCACAGAACACTTTCTCATAGTGTATGTAAGTCTATTCATCAGCGATACTATACAATTTGTACTCTATTTATTGTTTTGGCATCATATTAGACTTAGCAGATGTTATAAAAATGCTTTGTCCCATCCTACGTTTTGAAAGCCTACAGAATACATGGGAAGTAGAGGATTCATACTTTCAATGGGACGTTTGCAGAATGCCTTATATGTCTCAGAAAACCCTGTACTCAAGCAGATGTAGTGAGTGTTTTAATATTCGTGTGAGCATCCCAGTTTTGACTCAGAGTAGATTGATCACTCGATCAAATCTCTGCATCATTTTGGCAGGAAATTGAGCTGCAAACACTTATCCAGAATCGCAAACTAATCCAAAGAAGGACAGGAAAATATTCCCTGAACTGAACTTCTTCCACAATTATTGAGGAAGTAACTGCATAAAAATCCCTTTCATTACTATCATTTGCTTCCACTGGTTTGTTCACGGATTCAGCAGTCAATTGTAAATAGGCTTAGGAAGACATCAGAGACTAGAAGTTGCCAACCATAGAAGCATAGGGGAAGTAATCCACATCGTTTTCTCAAACAGCAAGGTAAATTTTGGTAGAGGAACTAAGCGATTCGACATTATTTAGAGAGCTGGGAACTGCAAATAGAACAGTATGAAATGAAGGTTGGTTATAGCTATGGTCAGGTGTCAATGGAATTCTTTTGCAGTTGTGGTAAAGACTGAAGTTTCCAAATGGTTTCCTAAAAACATTTCATAAAGATTTTAGGATTATTTCCAAGGACAGATTAGAGTGGTGAGAACATAAGCACCAGACACTTATATTTAGTTGATGACTTGGAGATTTTATGGAACAGGAACTGTTTCGTTTTCTGAGAATCAGGAAACATTAGAGAAAATTAAAAAACTCCAAAGTTCAGGGATATGTTTAGAGGACAAGAAAAATCTGCTTACTTGATAGTTTTGAGAATTAGAGGTCATTCAAGTTTCTGAGTCTTTGCTTTGGGTATAAGACTACCATTTATGTAGATAAAGGGAAGGCTGTATCTATGGAAAGATAAAAAGTCAGAGCGCCTATAATGATCTGAACAGTTCCTTAAACTAGGCTTAATGTCTTCCCATTTTGGCTCCCAGAGTACATCTCATATGTCAATAAAGTTTTAAAATGCAGAAGAAAAAAGTCAGAGTTCAGCTTTCAACACTAACACTGTATTTCTTTTCAATATTTATGTGGGAAATCAGGAGCAATTATGAGATTGGAGATTTAGAGGCAAACCATGCGTGTAAAGCACATAGCTTTGAATCATAGAGACTGAGCCAGGTTTCTATTGCTGGGATAGAATAGCATGGCCAAAAGCAATATGGGGAGGAAAGGTTTTCCAAGTCACAGTTCATCATTCAAGACAGGAATTCAAGAAAGGAAGGAACCAGAAAGCTGGGACTGAAGCAACGTCCTGGAGGGATGCTGCTTACTGACCCGCTCACCATGGCTTACTCAGCTTCCTTTGTACATATCCAGAGTTACCTGTCCAAGTGAACTGGCATCTACTAGGGCTGGGACTTTGCCAGTCAGTCACTAATTTAAAAATGTACAACAATGTTAATGGAGTTTTTTTCCAATCCGGTCCTGCAGCCCTTTAGTCACAGATAAACACACAGAGGCTTATATTAGTTATAAATTGTTTGGCTGATGGCTTAGAATTCTTTTTTTTTTCCGTTAGTTTTTTTTTTTTAATTTTAAATAGCTTGTTTTACATGTCAATCCCAGTTCCCTCTCCCTCCCCTCCTCCCGCACTCCCCTTCCACCCTCCCTCCCACCCTATTGCCACATACTTCCACATAGGGGATGTCTAGAGTCTATCATTTTACTCTTGGTAGGGTCAAGGCACTCCCCTAAGAGTCCAGGCTGAGAGAGCATCTCTCTTTGTGCTATAGGCACATGAAGACAGATTGTATACCAGGAATAGACACTGATCCACAGCTCAGAGCCCCATAGGTTGTCCAGGCCTTCTCACTGACACTCACATTTGGGGGGTCCAGATCAGTCCCATTCTGGCCTCCCCACTGTCGGTCTGGGGTCTAAGAGCACTCCCTGTTCAGATCAGCTGTCTCTGCTGGTTTTGCCAGCCCATTCTTTGCCAATTTGCTCATCATTCCTCTCTCTCTGTCACTGGGTTCCTTGGGTTCAGTTCAGTGATTAATTGTGTGTTTGCCTCTGCTTCCATCAGTCCCAGGATGAAGGCTCCCGGATAGTTATAGACATCAAGTTCATTATCAGGAATGGGCATTCGAGGTGGTCCTTCCACTATTGCTTAGCTTGCCAATTGATGTTATACCTTTAGATCACTCGAGGTCACTCTGGTGCCTGATCTGTCTTCGATCCTATGATTCCCTCTTCCCCCTATTCTACCCCCACCCCCTCAACTTCCTGTTCCCCCATGACCAACTCCCTTCCTCTTTACCCCCTCTATTCTTCCCAGGTCCCACTACCCCCCTCGCCCTGTTCCCCATCCATTCAGAGGATCTTGTCTCCATCCTCTTCTCTTGGGTACTATGTATATATGCATATCTTTTAGGTTCTTTCCTGTTTCCCAGACTCGGCTTAGAATTCTTACTGGCTACCTCTTTCTTAATTATTAACTCATAAAGATTAATCTATGTATTTCTTCATGACCTTATTTTACTGGAGAATGTCTGGACCTGTTACTGGTTTGGTGGCTTCTCTCTGTATCCTCTCCCCAGAATTCTGCTTGTCTTAATGTAGCATGTGTTTCTTTTGTTATGAGGGTGGGAGTATCCTCATACAATTTTTAGAAGATGGACAAAGAAAGGGAAGAAGGCATTTCCTGGATATTCAACATCTCACTTCTCTAACACACACACACACACACACACACACACACACGTACGCACACACACACGCATGCACACACAGATAGCTAACTCTAAAGTTGGTTTAGTGTTAACTGTTATTACATGAGGTCCAGGGACACTTCAGGAATCCCAACTTCTGCAAACTTACTCTTAGTTGTGGCTGCCCAGTTCTCCCAGCACGGATGTAAACTCTGACCTTGATTAGAAATGAAACACATATATCTCTGTGAGTTCGAGGCCAGCCTGGTCTACAAAGTGAGTTTCAGGACAGCCTCCAAAGCCACAGAGAAACCCTGTCTCGAAAAACCAAAAAAGAAAAAAAAAAGAAATGAAACACATATTCAGAAGCCAATTTGGGCCAGAAATAAAATCTTAAATATGAAAATAATGTTATATGGGAGTATTTATTTCAAGGAATCTTGGGGGTTTAGTCCTGCAGTGATTCATGTTATCAGCATTTGATATGAAACTATGTGTAAGGTAAATGTGTTGTCTTTAGTACTTTCA